AAAAGATGCAGTTAACGATGAGTTTAATGAAAAAATAGATATGTTAAGGGGACCCCACCCCTTTCCCGAGCCAAAAATTTTTTTTTTTCGATTTTTTTTTTATTTAATTTAAAGGTGTATCAAGGTCCCCTCTAGGTGTGCTATAAAACTCAGAACCCCCCAAGGTCGGGAAGTCCCTGGAAAACCGGTTTTTTGGAGACCTATGGAACAAAAAATTCTATTTATTTATTTTTTGATATTAAGTCATATTACAATGTAATATATCTATACTATGAAAATCAGAACCCCCCCCCCCCCCCCTAAAGACCGATCGGTCTCTAAAAAACCAAGTTTTTCAGCAACATATGACAAAAAATTTTCTTTTTGTTATTTCTAAAGATATTTTATTATGTTATGTTCTTCATTGGTGATAGTTGGAACCATATTGACTCATACAGTCCCAGAAAAGTGAAATTGCGGTATCGTATGTTATGTATAAAACTCTTATATCAAGTGACATCTTTTCTTCGATTATTTAATTTTCAAGGTGAAATATTGGTCCATTGTTCTTTTATTATTGACCATACTTGATATGCTTGATGCGTCTATTGGTCGTATCCTGACGAATAGAATAGAGAATTATCATCATTAGTCATAATCACTTCTAATAAAAATAAATATTTTTATTTTTTATATATATTTTATTTTTTCTTGTATGATGCAATAAAAATAAATGAAAATACATTACATCATTTCACATCCTTTGTCCATTGAACAAATTTATCAATGGATACATCAAATGCGTCTTCGAAAGGTTTATCTTTGTGAAGATCATTTGGAAATCGAAGACGCATCAGTTGCAGTATGACTGGTGGTAGTAAGTGGTTTTTTTCCATGGATTGTTTAGATAAAATTTTATTTATCTCCCTTACAAATGCCCCACGTCGTTCAACATCAGTTACTGCAACATTATCTGTAGTAACACGATGTCGAGCTGAAATTTTATCGTATTTTTTTTCAAATAAAATACGATGAATACGTGAAGGCATAGTAATTTTTTCATCTTGATAGCAACGTTCAAGAAGTGTTTTGATTGCTTCTAATTGTGCATCTCGTAGTGGCCGACCATCACTAAATGATAATTATATTTTAGATGGTTAAAAAATATGTTTCTAGACGATTGAAAGACAAGGATCTTGGGTTCAAACATTTTAAAAGTACAAAGCTGATAGATAATACTGTACGAACATCAATTGAACATGTATCAACAACAATAGAAAAAAAACTAAGATTATCTCGTGCTCAGCTTCTTAGTAAATCAACTGCCACAACACAAACCACTATTGAAGATGAAGATGAATCAGTATCATATGATATTCCATACACAAATGTTAATATTATCGTTAGCATCAACATGATACTGGATTTGGTTAATAAACTTCGTTGTCCTTCATGTGGTCGTGTTGGGAAAATGTCTGAGAAAGTTACTCAACGTCGTGGTCTCTTATACCATATCACATTTTCATGTAAGTGTTCATATGAAACACATTTTAAAAATTCAACAGAATTGGTTCATTCATCTACTTCACGTATGGATGAACTCAATATGATGGCATGTGTAGCAGCTAATGTTGTTGGAAT